CTGTAAATATATTTTTCTTCAGAAAGTTTGTATATATAACATTCATATTTAAAGCAGAGGTTGATCTTGCCAGGGTTTTCTGAGAACCATATCCTTCCATACTTCTAAAGATAATTGCAGTGATAGGAAATAAGCATGTCGGAATCCCCAGCGGAATAGAATACGCAGTGCTCAGGGCTCAGTTTGATTGAGCTGTGAGAGCAAGTACAGGTTTTGGGGTCCTAGAGACATCTAGAACATCTGTGGGGATTCGATGTTGATAATGCCACCTGTGACTACAGCAGCAAGCCTCTCTTTTTTGACATTTGGTATTTGTTACAAAATATTTCTCAGGATGTTCTCTCATTCTGTAAACCGAGTCTTCAAATGATAGAATAAGAAAGTAGGTCAACCAGGTTCACTGAGGTGAGATGTCCAAGTACTAATTGCTTAAGTCAAAAGCAGTGTAATTTTGGAATAATAAGCAATACTTCCTTTTAGTTGCCTACGGTCTTTATAAGTATTATTTTACATAAGCCATATAGCAATGCTGTGTGGACATAGGAAACTGCAATGCATTTTCTATAGGCCACAGCAGAATAAAAAGGTTTTTTAAAAAATGTGTAGAGTTTGTAGGTTTTTTGGTATCTCACTGTTGTGAATAGCTTCCGTTTTTCTGTATGATATATCGTAGCATTACTTATGGCATGGACCACAGTTCGTGGAATAATTATCACCAGGACTCTGGCAACGGAGCTGACTGTGGCCGTAACTGCTGTTCAGCATGGACTTCATTAAGTATTTCCCTTATTTATGGATAAAATTATATGATGTCTGAAAATAGATAATTGAGAATTAGCAATATGAGGGTTAGGGAGGAATGAGTCATGCTTTAGATGAAAGAAATTGGCCATGAGTTGATAATTGCTGAAGCTGGGTGATGTAAATGGGGGTTCATCATATCGTTCTGATAAAATACTCCATAATGCTAAAAATGCCACAAGACTCATAATTTAAAAAAGACCTTTCTCCAGGTATTGTAACAATACATTGTTCTTTCCTGTATCGTGCTCTGCCCAGTTTCCACCACAGTGGCAGATGCTTACATTAGAGATCAGGACACATGAATGTCACTGTTGAGAAAATAACAGGAGGAAACATACTCCTGACAATTTTTCAGAAGTCAACACAGACCTGCACGGATCCCAGCATTCACTTGTTTACATATTTGCAGGGAGTAGGCCATAATGAAGAGTCGGCCCCAGAAAAGAATATGACCAGCTGGCAAGTCCTAGGTGTCAAACACCTGACCCTTGGCTACATGGTCAAAACATCCTTTGTATAGTTATGATGCCAAATTAGGTTCTTAGCAGCTTCAAGTTATATCAAATATTTGCTTTAAACATACTGGCTTCAGAATCCTACAGATGGGCCTTTGAATCCCCTACTCTAAGTAACTGAGCCATGTGACTTTAGTGAAGGCAGTTAAAACATCTACAAAGCAAGGGTAATACATCCCAATATAGGGGTATTCCAGTGCTGAGATGAATAAAAAATGTATAAAATGTTTAGTGGAGTTCCTGACACAATAATGCCTTCAAAAAAAAAAAAAAATCATGAGTAATAGCACTGTGCATGAGTTAATCCACCAAGGGCAAATTTATGGAAAATACTGTCAGTTTGAACTGTGTTCTTGTGAGAGCTTTCCCTAATAGAATTCGGTACTATTATGAGGTTACCTGTGAAGCCTGTTAGGAAGGTTTTGGCTTTGAAGGTATGTGGACTCGACTTTTCTGTGAGCCCTACAATGTCAAGAACCCCTTATGGTCTCTTCACCCTCTGCTGTGTGGAGGCAACTAAGGTGGCTGGTGTGAGACACAAATCTTTTCTAAGACACTGGCTGCAGACTTTCTAACCACAGACTCCAGGATGGATTTCAAGGGGCTACGCACTCTCCCAATATTTGCAAAATCATGAGTATATGCATTTTTCTTAGAGACGAAGGGTGATTCTGGCTTGTATCAAATCCTCAAAAGTTTTTTTTTATTACCTGAATTAAAAATTTAGGAGCCTTTGTTCTTAATAATATGGGTTTGATTCATTCATTCATTTTTTCATCCATTCATTTAATGAATCTATCAAAAAAATAATATGGGTTTGGAATGTAGAGTTGAAAAATTTAAAAAGTGTAAATATTTTTAAATTCCCAATCTGGTGGAATCTATAAATAAGCTTTTTTGAATACATGTTTCTTGTTTATGTTCTGTTATTCATTTGCCCAGGGTGAATGCCATTGTGTAAATTCTGATAAACTCAGGGCTCTTTTGCTTAGTACACTTGTTATAAAGTCAGAAAGCAATAATCAAGCATTTGTTCTGAAAAATTTTAATTTTTATAAACAAGTCAGAAAGTTGATTTTTAAATGTGTGTAACAGTTATGAACTGTGATTTCTAAGGCACAGTTTTGCCAAAGAACTTAAGATTTCAAGGAAAAGTTGGTATGTGGAAGTGTATATCTGCTCTTGATTGTCCAGTTGCTACTAAATTATATCTACAAACGTTTGGAGGCTGTTACCTGGTCAAATTATAAGTGAGCTTTTATTTTTATTTTTAAATGGCTGTGACTAATAGTTAAGGGAACATAATTTGTGCTATTCCTTGCGTCATTTTCTGTTTTATCAATTTTTGTAGGCTATGAGGGAGGAGTTGTGGGCTTTCAGTTTCCCAGCACCAAATTCCCAAATTACCAGCACTGTTTAACCAGAGAGGTGGGAAGATATTATCAGCTTTAGGTTAGCTCTGTATTAAGAAAAAAAAAAAAGTTATCCTTTGGTGAATTTTCATTGAATAAACAACAACATAATAAAACTCAAAGCCACCTGTTAAAGTGTTTTATGGAAGGTCTCATGTTGGGGAAATAGAATTGAGAATTCCTTCAGATACTAGAACATTAGAAGTAAGATTAGAAATGGTTGAGGTCAGACGATTTAGATTTGTAGGCACTTCTGGCCTGTGGTGAAAGGCTTTGGAGCATTGAATGGAACAGAATACAGGATAATGTAAGGAGACTGCCAGCTTGGTCTAGGTGACAGCAACGATGAAGAGCCAAAGCAGTCCAAAGCAGAATGAGACCTTAAAGTGGACCGTGAGCATGTGAAGAGCAAAGGCATGGCTGAGCTGACTGGTCATGCTCTGTAAAGGATTTGTCAGCTTGAGTGTCAGTGCCTTCAAATAGGTTATAGTGAAACCCTTGGGACTTGATCTGTCCATTGGAAAACTAACATGTTTCTGTTTCTACATATAAAAACATGAATCTATTCATGATTTCATTGGAAATTCTTTATCATTTTACTCAATAGCAACAATAGAAATAGGTCTTCCTGAAAACTACTCGGTTATTTTCATCACTGAAAACATGTATGTTTAGAGCTCATCTGTTACCACAGTAGCTGAGACGCGTTATCTCTGGTTGAAGCAGAGGCGGTGGAATGGCGTCCACCAAAACCAAGAATCTTGTTTCTGAAGTGCCCGTTTCCAGAAGGTGTAGCAAACGCTGGTGGCCAAACCACAGATTTGGCTGGCAGCTGGGAACACGATGCATCCTTTCATGCCTTCTGTTAAAGAACATTTTTATATGAGCTAATTTCCACCAGGGGCTAAAAAGAGATCTCTCCCAGAACTGAAAGAATATTGTTATTCCTTCCATATGGCATGAACACTGTTATTCTAAATTACCTCAGTCTGAAAGCCCCAACAGACATTTTCAATGTAATCAAATGCAATAAAACACAGAAATGAGTGTCTTCAGTCAAACAGTGAGTTTCTTATTATTCAGGAAGTGCAAATGGAGACTAATAGCTCACTGGATGCATATGAAGAGTTTGAGTGTAGGGAGGGGAGAGCCAGAAAGTATCCAACACTGGTCATGCATTCTTGCTTTCAACCATCCACACAGTCTTTTTTATGATTGTTTGTCACAGAAATTGGTGCATTTCTTACAGGTGATCAAATTCATTATGTTTTATAAAGGTAATCACTCTAATAGCCTGTTAGATTCATATGCAAATATTGGAATATAACCAGACTTAACACTTAGGACATGTTAAGCATCTTTTGTTGTTAACTGGAAGACTGGAGAGCACAGTAGTGATCACTATTTTAGCTACTACTTTGAATTAATTTTTTTTCCCCCCAGTTATCTATGTTGGCTCTTTGGAACTCCCACTGAAAGAGAAGAATTCTGCTAGAGAAATAATGACTTCTTTCCTTATTTAGAAATAGTTCCCTGATGTTTTGGTTTTAAAGGCCAAGTATTGAATTATTCTCCTTACGAAATACGTGGACGTTCTGCTTTCCTTTTCCCAAAACCAAAATGCCAGTATTTCCAGGCTGCATCATGCTGAAAGCTACATTTGTGGGTGACCCATACCTAGTATTGAGAGACTGCACTTGTTTTGTGATTCGATAATATGATTATGAAAGCAACTAGAGAGAAATGGAAAGAAGCAAACTAAGGGCCAGAATGATGCTTGAAAAGTATCAAAAGTTGCCAAGCTGCAAGAAGAGGAAGTGGGAATAACCTCATAGAGGGAATCCATGGAGCTCTCAAGGCACTCATCTTTTGCTATCCATTTGATCTCTGCCAGCATTTCTTTACCTCTGAAATAATATGGATTTCCACAGGATTATGTAATAATGATGCTTACAGATTTTATTTTTAAAACATGCCATTCAGAGTAGACATAGTCCTATAAAAGAAAGTTGCAATGTGTCTAGTCCATAGAACACATCCAAGAAAATCTTATATTCTTGGCACTATCTGAAAACCTGCTATTTAAGATGAGTCTCAAAGAAGTCCTCTCGGATAATAGCTGTCACTTTTCAGAAAAAGTATCTTAGTATGCTTTCTATTTTTGCTGTGGTTTTACTTTATTAACCTACTTTATTAGCTAAGCCATTGCTCATTATTCTTCGATCAGCAGAAATTTATTGTCCATTAGCCATTGGTTAGTCCCCAACAGTCACGTTTGTTTCATTCTCCGGTACAGGGAAGAGCCAGCCTTGCAGTACTGTTGGTGATCAGGAGCCTTAGACAATTCTTCATTGACTGAAAGGAAAAATATCAGTTAATAATTTGGAGTGCTGAGTGTCATTGGTCATTTACTGCTCATAAGTGGTTATTGTCCAGCCTTTCTACACTAGTAGCCCCAGCAAGTTACAGAAGGCCAGGTCCTCAGAGCGAGTCCTATTTCAGGATCTCTCCTCACCTCCTCAACCAAAGGAAAAAAAAAAAAGTAAATGTTTATTTCTAAAGAATGGTCTTGGTTAGAGTGGACAAATTACCACCATAAAATTTGTTACATGCTAAGTATAATTCCTATGTAACAGGTTAAGTGTGGATTAAATTTATTAAGATCCCCACATTCGATAAGCATTTATTAAGCATGTCTATAGGCAAGGAACTGGGGATATGGAAATGCGTAAGATAGGATTTCTGTTCCTGCTCCTCCCCCCAAAAATGTGTGTGGGTATTTATAGTCTTTAGACATATCAAATTATTTTTCCTTTACCTTTAGCATCTTTTATTGAAAACTGACAGCTTCAATATTTCACAATCTATACACTTCTTACCTCCTTAAAATATAACTTCAGTTAAAGCTACTCTCTAAAATATTAAAACTTCCCAATAACATCCTAATTACTAAATCTAGTGGAATTTTCCAATCCCCAGTTTCCCCATGCTGTATGTAGCATTTGACACGAGCCCCCGCCCATGCTCCAATTATTCTCCTCCCTTTGGCTTTTATTTTATCTATCTTTCTGTGTACTTTTATCTGCTCTGTGACTTCAACTGTTACCTCTTGGCAGTGACAAACTTGATCTGTAGACCTAACACCTCTCGAGATCCTGACAAGTATTCCTTTAGATCTTACTGGTATATCAAAAAATAATCTCTCTCTTCCTGACTGCCACAAATACATACAACTGAACCTGCCTTTACTCTTAAAAGTTTTATTTTCAGAATTATAATTAATCAAATTATTTAAGCCAGAGACCAGGAGACTATAATCTCATGGGAGATAATACTTGTTTATAGACTCTAACCTGAAAATGCTCCCTTTGACATCCATGTCAAAGACAAACAGGCACTTTGTATGCCACGTACCTCAGGACACGTGCATTTTCTCTGACCTGGATTCTGCTGGGCCTCCACAACTTAAGACTCTTGTCATTTTAGTCTGGATAGGGTACATATGCAACGGAGGGTGACAGGCCCTAGGATACATGAGCCTCAAGATTTCATAATTAAATTTGTTGAGCAGTTGTTATATGCCATATAGTATGTGAAGTCCCTTGCATGCCTTATTTAATTCTTACAATGACATTATGTTATAGTCACCATGTTATTCTTTATAGATGAACAAACTGAGGCAGAGAGAAATCAAGATGAAGCAATTCACTCAACCAAGATCACAGAAATGGATGGATTCAGGATTTGATCCCAGGCAGTCTGACCTAAAAGTCCACACTCAACTACTCAGTTACACTGTTTTTCCACAAAGGTTATTGCTAGTTCACATGTATTGCTTGAGATAGCCCATGGCTTATATTATAAATTCATTAAAATATGAGTAATTTATTTTATTCTTAATTACCAAAGGCACAACCAGTACTTTGAATGAGAAACCAGGATACAAATTATAGAGCTGAAAATGGGTGACCTGAATAATAAGATTGAAAGAGAACTCTAAGAGTAGAGAACTAGAATAGAACAAGAGGAAGTTCATCAATATACAATAAGTTATGTGTCCGGGAAATAGTGTTCGTGCTAGGCACAATGCAGAGAACAAGATAAAAAATTTATCTTTCTCCTGAAAGAGCTGACAGTTTGGTCACCATTTTATTTCAATGGGTCTACAAAGGAGAGTGCAGAGAGATTAGGCAGGTGGCCTTGAAAAATCCGTTTGTTATTGTGGAAAATTCTGCAAGCAACCAAGTTTTCCCTATTGGGCCATGGATAAAGAAATGTAATCTTGATTCAGCTAAATCTTTATGATGAGGAATCACCATCATCAGTAATTATAATTACTCCTCTTATATAAAGAGGTTGATCAAATTTTCTCAAAGCTTTTGTGAAACTCTTGCCTTGTTTAAAATTTTCCTGGTTGCCTATCATATTGGTGGTTAGTTTATTTGCCTAGGCCAAAAGGATTCATCTATTTAACAGATATCTTTTGAACACCTATTCCATGTTCAATACTCTAGGGATAGTGCATTGGCTGAGAAGGCTAGCTCTGGAGCCAGCCAGCCAGGGTTCAAATCCTGTCTCTACCAGTTTCTAGGTGAGTGACTTTGGACAATTTAATTGTTACAAGATAATTTTAATAAGAGCTATTATTATAATGACTAATAGTTGTTCAGAACTGACACTGTTAAGAACCTTATATGTATTATCTCACATAATCCCTTACAGCTATATCTTGCTATTATTTCTATTTTAGAGATAAAGAAACAAGTTTTAAGAGGTTGAGTAGCCATTTACAGATCTGGAATTCAAACTCCATTTGATTTGATTCCATAATCTGAGCTCTTAGCAATTTCACTCTGCTAACTCTTAAATTCTGATTTTTCCAATACTTATCTCTTTCTTGTTTGATTGCTGACTACTAAAACATATATATGAAGTTCAGTGAAAGATGTCTAGCCACCCAGTACATTTTCAATAACTGAGTTGTTTGTTTTGGAATGTAAATCACCGAAGGCCCGTACCTGATCACTTACCTGACCTTATTTTGGATCTAACACCATGTAAAAACTTTCAGGCATTCTATAGACACTTTCTTTTTTTTCAATAAGAATATCTTTGGCAATGCTGGTTATTTTTGAGAGGATTTTTTCTTGATCAGGATGATGGTATTTGGGGGACAAAGAGTGGCACTGAAAGTAGAAGTTTAGGAATCTCAAGACTTCGGGAGATGAGACAATCAAAATTTCAATCCTGGAAGATGTGAAATGTCCGTGTCCGTGGCTGATGAAGGGTTGACCATGGAAAGTTCAAGATTCAGACCCTCGTCTCAAGAGCTACTCTTCAAGGCAATTGACAGATTGAAGAGTGCAGGATGTTAGAGATTTTGCTTTCTTCCTTTGTGAGGAAATTGATGTTCTCTGCATACTGATTTACATGCACCATTACCTCCTAAGGCTTGCAGTGTAGGGGTTAATGTTGAATGATTATAACACCTCCATATGCTTTCCATCACATCTTAAAATGTCTCTCCTGTCTAACGGACTAGGATATATGAGGCAGGCAAACTGATTTTCTGTTTCAGAATGCAGGACTCTGGGGTTCTGTGAACACACCAGTTAATCTGTCAATGTCTCTTTCTTTACAGGAACAAAGTAGGAATGATTACGCTTGCCATAACCCTGTTTGGAAGATTAATGTCATGACATTTGACCATCTGTTTACGATTTTTAAATGGGAGCTATTAAATAGAGATGCACACTGGTGATGTTTTATTTGGGGCCAAATGATCTCATTTGCCCTCAAACTGGAGAGAGGATATTACTGCTTACCCTTGGGAAGATGGCTACATAAAGAGCTATATTTTTTAAAGCTACATGTTATTAGAGTTAAAAAAAAAAAAGAAAAGAAAAGAAAAGAAAATTGAGAATTAAAGGGACCAGATCTACGTAAACATGAAAACATGCTTGGTCTAAGGTTGTTTGCTAATGCTGGAGAATGTAATCGGGAATTACTCCAAAAAAGGATGCATAAATCCCATTTGGGAGAGATGGTGGTATCAGCAAAGGATAGTTTGCAAAAATAACTCTCAGGAGAATAACACAGTACAGGCTGCCCCTCCGCTGCCGCCCTGGCCAGGTTAAGTGTGAGGGAGAGCACTGAGGGTCCCCAATTTCCTCACCCCACCAGTCTCAACAGAATGAAAACTGACGGCAGAGTGTGCTTTGGTTCAGTCAACTGGGCAGTCCTCTCTTAGCATCCTCCAGATGGTTCACTGGCAGGCCACTAGTAATAGAGGGCTAATAGTCATTAGTTTTCTTTCCAACAATGAACTTCAGATGGGACCCCCATTGCATTAAGTGACCGATGTACAGATTTTTGTTAGTTCCTTTCACCTCCTCACTCACTCCTCCTGTCCTCCTTACCTGTAACCTGAAAGACCAGGCACACTTCAGTGAAAGCCAACAAAAGTAGGAGACAGTGGAGAAAGACCACAGCAAATGGAGGCTCATTACATCGTTGGGGATGCCCCTTTACTGTTTAGAGGGTCCTGCCTCTGGTGGGAGTGTTTAGCACTAACCCTGGGACAAGACTTAAGGAGAAAGGGAAGGTCATTCTTATAGCCCTTTGACCAGACATCTAATGAGGCCAGAGCCAGAAGCATGCAGATTTGCAATGTCTCTCCTCCAACTTCTAATGATTTTGCCAGATGCCTTTTGTGGTTTTCTAGAACTGACTTTGTTTTCTCTTGGTCCTAAAAGCCCGTAGTAAAAATCTATCCCAATATCTAGGACAATTCCTGATATATGTTAGACTCTCAAATATTTGTTGAATGAATGAATGAATGAATGAATGAGTGAGTGAGTGAATGAATGAATGAATGAGTGAATGAATGAGAAGTCTTCCTATCCAGAAGTATGGTGCATGTTTGGAGCAAGCCTCAATGTTGGTGAAAAGACTTCACCCAGAGAGCATTAGCCCTAGTCATGTAGGGCTGACCTTCTTGCTATGCTTTGGGTTAGATGCTATGTTGCAAAAAATGGAGGCTTTGAGAGGGAAGGGACAGACCTGTAGTCGGGCAAGTCTAGAAGTCAAGAAAAGTTCAGTAACATATCAGAATTTAGAATAAAGAAGGGAAGGAGTTGTGAAGAGAGAACAAATGTTTGGGGCCTTCCAATTCTTTTACTCAGAAGTAATTCCAAATTTATTTAGCTATAAATGAGGTGATAATTTTTGTCTGAGACTTGATCTCTATACAGCTCACACAGGTGGGGATGTGTTGAAGACAGAAGGGTGTCACCGTGCAATGATCACAGTGTGTATACACATGGAGCACTCCTCTGGGCCTGGGCCTATGTGTAGCACCTTGCCAGCTTTTTCTCCCGCATCGGCCCCCTGTCATGCCAGGCTACACCCTCATGGGCAAATGAACTTTTCTAGGGCATTCTGAAGGAATGTGATTGATATGTTTATACCTCAGAATTATCTAAATACCTAAGTAAAATACTGTAGATCCATTTAAATTTTACATATTATAGATGTTTTTTCCCAAATGTCACCCCGGGGTAAGTAATGCTATAAAACTAAGATTCATCTTTTATTGCAAAGTTTGTCCCAAACACCAGCTGTCCCACTTAATGACCTGACCTATAATAACGGATAAATAGAGGCCAACAAGACACTTTGGAACCCGTAAATTTATCTTGCTCTGTTGTTTGCCTCATTTAATGTTCGATATATTTTTGAGGTACTAAAAATTTTATCTAGCCAGAGAGGTAGCCAGAGATGGCACTTGGAGGTGACATGAACTCTTCAAGTCCCTGACTGTGACATAAGCATCCTTTTACTGCTCCACAGGGTGCTCCATATCAGTGGGAGCTTGGCATGTGTAACTAACAGTGGCCATTGCGACAGCTTTAAAAGACCTTCAAAATGGAAATGTTTATGGTGGCTAGGCATTAAGCCTGTTCGGAAGACTCTGAAGCGGTGCCCTAATTAGGAGCGTGGGGATTTCTAATTTTCTCCTTCTTTTTCAGAGGCCCTTTTCCAGGGCTTAGTGGTAATGAATGGCAGAACATCAAGGAGAATGGTCTAGGGGCAGTGGAGGATAAACTAACTTAATAAAGAAAAGGATTTATCTCATGAACGCTGTAGAGCAAGACAATACAGCTGGGTCACTCGACAACAGAGCTTTTCATAAAAATGCGACACAACAAATGAAAGGCTAGGGGGATATTTGAGTATGTTATAATGGAAAACTTACGATTCCATAATATACTCTCTGTCCTCTAGGATGTCTTTATGTTCTAAATCTCATCTTAAATATCCCCAGTTGTATTTCTGTTCAGATCATATGTGGTAGCATTCTTCATTAAGATTTGGAATATCTGTTTATATAATAACATCCATGAAGGCATTGCTTGGACTTGGCAAGTATTTGTGGGAGAGGAAAGGTTTTCAAATTTATTTTTTAGTACTCTAATATGATAGCATTCAACTTAAGAAATATTACTGTTTTTTTCTCGATATTGTTAAAATAGCTATTAACCTCTATGATATTAATCTGTTTGCTGGATACATTATTAATACACAGTCTATCGAGTTACAGGCCAATTTCATTAATTTCAATTATAGCAGATTAAATGGTCTCAATCTATGACCCAACTGCCATGTCTAAATCATTTCGTTTCCTTTCCTTTTTTTTTTTTTTTTTTTTACACTTTAAGACTATGGCCTCATGGAAAGTTTACACCAAGTCATCAAATATCTATTAGGGCTTGACATTTGATATTTGTCATTTCTATTTCCTTAATAGAAGTTCAGTGGTTGAAAAAAGTGTTTGCACATATGCTCACAGGCATATATACACATAAGTCTGTCAGGTAGAGAAAGCAAACCCTGGAAAATGCTTTAATTTTTGAGAATATATTGCCCTCACAGGCAAAACTGAGTAATCACTTGTCAAAATTTCTGATTCATTGTTTGACTATCTGTGAGGGGCTGCCATTAAGAGGTCCCCAACAATAGGCCTTCAGAGCCTAGCCACACTCCTGAAAGGATCAAACTTTGTCACTTTCCCCAATGAAGATATCTTGAGAGAGCGCTTCTTAAGAAGTGCCTACAGATCAAAAAGATGTGTTGTTCTAGGCTTCCCAGAAACACTGACATTGCATTGACTTGTTCCAAAAGTGTGCCACGGAAAAGGATTTCCAACCCCCACCTTGTGTGGCTTCACGCTTACCCTCCATCAGTTTGATCCTGAAGTAGGCAATGAGAAGGAATAGCAGCAAAGTCACAGGCAAGAAGACCCCGGAGAGCAGGAACCAGCCGGGGAGCTCTCTCATGAATGCCGACAGCACAGGGCTCATTGCTGATGACACAGACCCTCCCGGGCCAGTGGGGTTGGCACTCGGGATGAGGGCGGCACTGCTCCCGGAATGCACTTGTTTTCTTCTGGGAATCTGGCATTTGCTCAGCGCATCTCGGTGGAACTTTTTGTGGACTTTGCTCTATTTAAACAGCCCCATGAATTCTGAGAGGATTGCTGGCAGGTTACTCTGTAACTCAGCTACAAAGTGTAGAGGATTGAAAGGTAATTCTCCCACACCATTGCAGACAGAAGCGTTTATCTGGCAGGTTGTGCATGACACCAGGAGGCCTTGATTTCTTTTCAGCTTATCTGGAATAGAAAGTACCTGACTTCAAGTAAACCTCATCGTTATGTATATATTCTACCTGCATATCCCCAGACCTAAATTTCAGAGTTAAAAATTACTAGTAGCCATGTGAATGTAACTATGAATCTGTGTCTAGAAAAAGTGGATTTTCTTCATACACAGTTGATACAACTAATATCAAGGAAGAGAAAAACATAGTTTGCATGTCTAACTCTAGTATATCCTGCTCTGAATACTTTTCTGAGAGTACACTGGTATATTCATTTATTCAACAAACATTTAATTCTATTAGAAATCTACCTCTTGTCTACGGCCATGCTACCCTGAATAAGCCCGATCCCTTCTGATCTTGGAAGCTAAGCAGGGTCCGGCCTGCTTAGTACTTGGATGGGAGACCACCTAGGAAGACCAGGTGCTGTAGGTGTAAAAAATAAAAAAATAAGGGATTGTAAACTGACAAGGTCCTTGCAATCTGTGAGGTCAACCAAGGCTTGCCTTGCCTGAAAAAAAGAAAAGAAAAGAAAAGAAAAGAAACCTACCTCTTGACTAGATACTGGGTATACAGAGAAGAGTTACTCATGGTCCCTGCCCTCTGAGGCCCAGAGGTAATGGCCTCAAGTGATAATGGAATGCATGGTGATATCACACTTCGGCCTTCTCCCCTTGAGGCATGAATTTTTGTTTGCTGCATTATAGCTTGTACTCTCAGTTATCTTCTGCTTTTACCCATTCTAGTGGCCCACCATTAGCAGTAGAAGGTAGGCCCTGACTGATAGTGATGTGAGCTATCTGGTAACTCCAAAGTTTCTGGGAAAAGAAAGGGTAATAAACTATGCCGACATTGACTTGTTGACTAAGTGGAGTTGCCATTGACTTAGTGAAAGTTTTTCAAACATGCTAGTCTACCAAAATAAACCAATGGAAAGAATCACTTCCATATTAAAAGAATCTCTTAGAGAATTTGGAAAATTTGGGAGGGAACTGGTAGCCACTTTCTGGGATTCGTACCTCTTCTCAGGTTCTAACCCCATCCACCTCCCCCTACTCCCACTTGGCATCTGCCTTGGTGGGCAGCTGGCAGAATCCATCATAAACTTGCTATTGTCAGTGTCTCCTGAATTTCTTCATCGAGGATTTTGCAAGGCCATGCAGAGTCCTAGTCCCAGCTATAAAGTCAGCACCCTAATTTATAAAATAAAAAGAGTGGGGATGCTTGTCTGTGAACAGTAAACAGCTTCCTCTCAGAAGAAAAACATCTTAATTTCAGAAAGAGTCATTTAGAACACCCAAGATTAAGTCAGCATTCATTCTACTTTACTTGCTTCTCTTCTCCCACTCCACGAACCCCTGAGTGCTGCTGCTACTGCTGCTACTGCTGCTATTCCTCTTGTGTGCCCTCCAATGAGATGGTTCTCTGGTGCTCTTTCAGGTTGAACAGGATGCTAATTTGTAAAGCGTCAATCTACAAAGGACCTCCATGAACAGGTGACATTACCAGGGAGATGTAAGGCAGCTGTTAGGCTGACTGTCATGTTCTTTCTTTCTCTCCATTTCATTCCATTCGACAAGCCTTTTTTGAATGCCTAGACAAAGGTGAGTGAGAGGAACAGGCAAATATATATATACATGACAATAATGTAAGCTCCCAGGCTGACATATCAACAAAAGCAATGGAAGCACTAAAGAGAGGCTGATTAATTCCAGTTAGGAAATTGGGCTGCATTCATGAAAAAGATAGGATTTGAGCCGAACCTAAAAAGATAGGGAGCTGAGGAACGACCTCCTTAAACAAATATGCGACAGTAGAGCTGAGCAAGGTTTATAGAGGACGGGGAAGAGTGGCTAAATGCTATGCGGTGAAGGCCCGAGAGTGTCCTAAGAGGTGGAAAAGTGGGGTAGCGTCAAAGCTTATAGACCCTTGAATGCTCTACTAAGGACTATGTATCTGGACAAGGGGGCGCCAATCAATGGTCTTTGATAATGGAAGCACTTTGATGACTTCTCACCTGGTTCAGGAAGCACTTAGGTAGCACTTGAAAGAATTGACTGAATAGAAGAGAGATCAGAGGAGGATGTTTAAACATGGTATCAAGGTGTAATGAGTATGAGATAGGGGATGGCCGAGGGAAGGGAGAGAAGGGGACAGGGAGTCGGCAGAGATGGCACAAACAGTCCTCTGTGAGTAATCATGCAGAGAGAGGCAGATATCGCCAGTGATACTAATAATCATTGAGTCAGACACTATGTAAAACACTTTGTGTTTGTCATATTTTTTAATCTTCATAGTAACCTAATGAGGAAGAGACTCATACAGGCAAAGAAATGAGGCACAGAAAGATTAACCTAAGACATATCTAGTAAGTGGCAAAGGTAGGATTCAAATCCAGATCCATGCTCTCATCCACTGTGGTGCGCCTGGCTTGGTGGGCTGAGGAGGTGGTAGTGTTACAGACGGAGACCTGAACCCAGGCTGGGCAGCAGGTTTGGGTGGGGGAAGAATCGCAATTTGCCTCACTAAATCGGAGGTGGTATAGAGATGTTCAAAGGGAACCTGGTGAAAATAAGGAGTTCAGAAGGGGACGAGTCATGTAATGTAGATTAGGGAATTATTCGTGGCTGTGGTCCAGGGAGTGGAGGGATTGTTCAGAAGGACTGCATGTGAGCTAAAGGAGAGACCAGCTGCAGACCCTAAAGAAGACGCTTACTTAAGACATGGGAGGAAGGATAAGAACGAGGGAAGAAAACCAAAAGTGGAGATTCTGAGGGGTGGGAGAGGAACTCATAGGGAATAATGTCAGGGAAATGGTGGCAAAAGGAAGATCCAAGAAGGAGAGGGTGATAAGTGGTATTGTTTACTGGGTCTGAGGTCATTCTGATCCACATGGAGAATTTCAAGAGAGCCTAATCTTTGAAGTGGACTTAAAGGTTTTCTTTCTTTTTTTTTCTTAAAAAGGGCTCTTTGGGAGTATAACTGACAGAACAAACTGTATAATTTGATATGTTTTGACATGTGTATGTGCACCCATAAACTCATCACAATCAAATGATGAACATATCCATCACCCCCAAAGTTTTCTGATGTCCCTTTTCTATCCCTGTCTCCCACCCCTCCTGATTCCCCAATCCTCAGTCTATCACTGATCTGTTACTATATATCAGTTTGTGCTTTCCAGAATTTTGTATAAATGGAATCATACACTATGTCTCATTTTTTGTCTAGCTTCTTTCACTCCACATAATTATTTTGAAATTCATTCATATTGTTGTGTGTAGCAATAATTCATTGATTTATAGTGCTGAATAGCATTTCATGGTATGGATATTTTTTTGTTTACCCATTTACCTGTTGATGGACATTTGGGTTATTTCCCATAATAGGCTACTACAAATGAAGCTGTAATGAATGTTCCTACATAATTCTTTATATGGGCATGTGTTCTCATTTCTTTTGGATAAATACCTTGAAATAGAATGGCTGGATTATAAGGTAGGTGTATGTTTAATTTTTTAAGAACTTCTTAGACTGTTTTTCAAGCGAATTATTCCATTTTATATCCTCACCAGTAGTTTTATGAGAATTTTAGTTCCTTCACAACTCACCAACATTTGATATTGTCAGTCTTTTAAATTATAGTTCTTCCAGTGGTATGTAATAGGATCTCATGGTGGTTTTAATAGGCATTTTCCTAATGATGTTGAACATCTTTTCATGTGGTTATTTGCCATTTCGTGAATCGTATTTGATGAAGTGTCTGTATAACTATTGTAAAAAATGAATTGTTTGTTTTCTTATTGAGTTTTGAGAGTTTTTCATATTCTGGATACAGGTCAATTATCAGATCTTTGACATGAAGAGTTTTTTCCCCAGTCCTACTTTTGTCTTTTCATTCTCTTAACAATGTCTTATAAAATGCAGGACTTTTTAATTTTAACAAAGTTCAGTTAACCAATTTGTTCTTCTATGTATTTTACTTTTCATGTTATATCTAAGAAATCTTTGTCCAACTCAATGTCACAAAGATTTTCTCGTGTTTTCCTCTAGAAGTTTTATAGCTTTAGCTTTAATATTTAGTTCTGTGATCTATTGTGAATTAATTTTTTAATATGGTGAGAGATATGAGTAAGAGTACTTTATTTTTTGCATATGGAGATTTGATTGCTCTAGCACTATTTGTTGAAAAGACTGTCCTTGCCCCTGAACTGCCTTTGCACAGTCATCAAAAATCAGAAATCTAATTATGTGTGGGTCTATTTCTGCACTCCCTATTCCACTCCATTGATCTAATTGTTAAATTAATCTTTGCACAAATACCATTATGTCTTGATTACTGTAGCTTTAAAATAAGTCTTGAAATTAGATACTGTTAGTTGTTCAACTTTATTCTTTTTCAAAGTTGTTTTAGCTAACATAGGTCATTTTTATTTCCATATGAGTTTTAGAATGAACTTGCCAATTTCTATAAAAAGGCCTGCTGGGACTTGATTGGGAATTCATTGTATCTATAGATGAGGAGATAATTCATAGTTTAACAATACTGAGACTTCTGATCCTTGAACATGATGTATGTTTTCATTTTATTTAGGTCTTCTTTAGCTTTTCACAACAATGTTTTGTAGTTTTTAGTATGCTCATCATGAACATTATTTTTTGTCAGATTTAAGTATTTCATATTTTTATGCTATTGTAAAGGGTATTGCTTTTTAAATTTGAATTTCTGGTTACTAGTATTAAAGATTTTCTTAGTGCATAAAAAATACCATATTACTGGGAACTTCTACAAGATTAAATCTTAGAATTTATTAAAACATTCTTCAGAGCTTGAAAAATTTTT